GGTGTGTGTGTGTGTGTGTGTGTGTGTGTGTGTGTGTGTGTGTGTGTAGCTGCCCCTGGGCCTGCCCCACTCTGGTTAAGGCACTGCAGTTTGGGGGGGACAATGCCCCTACCATGCCTCCCCCAAATGCCGCTCATGCTTCAAGTTACAGATCTACACCAATAGTGGCTACTGGATATAGTCCAGCACAACTCCTGATGGGAAGACAACTCAGAATTACTGGTCCTATTTTGGAAAAGAACCTATCTCCATAGTGGCCAGAAAGAGAGTAGCCAAATCGGATAAAAAGGTTAAGTGAGTTTATGAACACTTTTACAACAGACGTCACTCAGTTAGAGAACTGCCGGGTCTAGAACATGGTGACTGTGTTTATGTCAAATTGGATGGAGAAAAAGGATGGACAATTCCAGGTGCTGTAAAGAGAAAGAATTCAGCACCCAGATCAAATGCGATCAAGTCCCGTGGTGAAGAGTTCAACAGAAGTCATTGACATCTACAATTTGTTCCTCAGAAAGAACAATCAACAGAGCAAACTCTACAAAAGGCAGATACAGAACAAGAAGAAGACTCAAGACAGTCGTTGCAACTAATGGCCAGCCAGATGACCAAGCTGTTACATGTTTGGGTCACGTAATTAGAAAACCAGCATTGAGACACTTAACAGACTGATAGGTACTGAACTTCAAAGATAATGTGATAGTGTAAATACTGTAAATGGTAGGAAAGTAGATCTTAAAGGGGGAGATGTAATGGAATGTCAAACTGTATTATACTGTTCTGCCTCTAGGTGGCACTGTGTATAAAAATACTTTATTTAAAGCTAATCTTATTAAAGCCATACCTGGCAGTGCATTAAAGGATTTTATGATGAACACATCTGGTGTATATGAGCAAGCTCTTTAGCCAGGCCATATCTGGTACCAAAATGCAGGACAAAGATCAGACCCAAAGATACTTTCAGCTGTTCTTAAACTCAGGTAACCCTGAAAGTCTGAGCCAGATGTAACAGTCTCACTTTGGATATGTCTGCATTTCAATCATGCTAGTTTGGGTACTAGTAGTAATGAAGCCGCACAGTATGGGTTTCAACATGGGTTGTACAAGCATATCTGGAACCCGGAATAATTATTGCAGCGGCTGGTCCGCGATAAAGTCTGTGCTGCCGCAGCTACACTGCTACCAGTATTTGAGCTAGATTAAAGCTAGTTTAGGTGTGTCTACACAAGTTGGAATCATGCCCCTGATGTGGTGTAGACACACACTTAGATGCCACTGCTCGGTAAAATGAATATGTCATTGCTGCAAAATGTATCATAGAACCATGAGATGGTTATAAGTGTTTTTCCAGATTTGCCCAGTTTAATGGGAGACAGGGTCTTATTGACCTAAAATACATTTTGTTTTGTCTTTGCAGAGGCACAGAGATTTCTACGACTCTCTGTTCACCGTGTGCAGTAATTCACCACGGTCGCTCCTGCATTTATCTAGATGTGCTATTAGACGAATATTGTTCAAAAGATGCCACAAAGGAGTCCCTTCACTTTCCATTCCACCTCCATTGAAGAAGTACTTGCTTTTAGAACCAGAAGGAATCATTTATTAAGTCTTAGCAAAGCAGACGGATAGTACCTGCAATCTCTGGGTCTGCACACATGTGGAGGGAATTACCATCAGGGAGTTTTTACTAGGGAAAGTCGAAGTTCTTGGCAAAATTCTTATGCAAAGAAGGATCTGGTTTCATAAATACCAATGCCGAACTGCTCTCTCCATTATATGTACTGATCCTTTGTTCAATCTAGTTTTAAATTAACTGAACCAAGTGTGACTTCCACCACTTCACTTCGGTAATGATTCCACTGTCTATTAGGTATCACTGTTGAGAATGTTTTCCAGATATCCAACACAAACTGCCCTTGATATTGTTTCAATTTAGTTTTTTTCAACCATCATCTCAGGAAGAACAAAACAGGATAGTGTCAGAAAAATATCTTTCTCATCAGAGTCAGCTACATCTTTCTCCAGAAAAAGAAAAAGATCAAAGGGCTTTGAATGAGGTCCATAGACTGAGTTCTGTATTTTAAGTTGTTTTCCTATGGATTGCCACTGAATTGGATGTTAGTTTATTATATGCTGCATTGCATCATATCATATAATGTTTTGTCATTCACTGTAATTACATCATTGTGCAAGTGGAGCAAAGAAGAGATTAGCAGTGTTTACGTTCATATCTGTGTGTGATGAAATTCCTACTTGTGTGCGTAACGTGTATCAGTCAGTAAACTTGCACGCTGCTGAAGAGTTCACCATCACTGCTGAACTGCATCATATGGTAACTGTGGAAGGTCACCATTTCAGCTCAGCCCACAGCTCATAAATTCAGGTCCTAGAGAGGAATCTGGAGAAATTGCTGAGCTGATGGTACTGCAGATCTTTTTACTAGCTGTATCTCTTGTTTGTCCACATCAGGCCAGATCCTGCATGGTACCGAAGAAGAGTACCTGGTAAAAAAAACACAGGTAAAAAGAGTAGGTCTGGGGCACAGAGAACCTGATTCTGAGGTAATGAGTGATGCTGTATCCTGCCTAATAGCAGAAAAAAGGCGTAGGAGGGGAATGCATAGCAAAGTGTCCTTTTAGTATGATGAGAATCATGCATAAGCCCATGTCTCCTCAGAGAATGGTGAGAGAGAGCAGCCATATAGGGGGCTTGAGTCTTAGCGCCACATAGGATTTGTCTACACTGCAATTAAAAACCAGCGGCTGACCTGTGCCCGCTGACTCAGGCTTACTGGGTTAGGACTGGTTCATTGCAGGGTAGATGTTCGGGCTGGACCCTCTGAGGAGGGAAGCCCCAGAGCACAGGCTGCAACCTGAGCCTGAATGTCTACACCTCAGCTAAACAGCCCCACAGCCTGAGCCCCACGAGCCTGAGTCAGCTGTCATGGGCCAGCTGTGGGTGTTTAACTGCAGTGCAGACCTACCTCAGTGTGCCTTACTATGCCTAGCACTTCAATTCAGATGCACCCCTGAAGAGCAACAGCTTACCACAGCCTGCTGTGCGCCGATGACAAGAACGTACTGGATCAACCCTGAAAAGTAAAGCAGAATGATTACAGCACGCTTGGTTCCTTCTTATTTAGCCTGAGTAATAGGAGTTGCATTTCAGTCAGAGAGGTGGTATGGTCTGAGAGGTGAGGTGCCTCCATTTTATTACTGGCTCTGCTACTGAGGTTTTGTCTAATCCTGGTCTGGTCACTTATCTCCCCTATGCTTCAGTTTCTCCATCAATATAAAAGGGGCAACAATCCCTCACTCACCAGGTGTGATAGATTATGCCCCTTAGGAAGCCACCTGATGTGCTGAGATACCACTGAGTCTACCTGTTCTGCCAGCATGGGCCTCCTTTAACCTGTCTTGCTGAGCCAGGCTATTAAAGCCTCCTCCAGCACACACACAGGCAGGGCCACACCCAGCTGCAGATCAGCTCTGAGAAATCTCAATTTAAGGGACTTGCTCCAGCACTCTGGTGCTCACTCCTTTTAAGGGGTACAAACCCAAAGGTTTTATGAAATTCGCCTCCTCCCGCAATGTGGAGAGAGGTGTGTACACTTCTTGTGCCCCCAGTTAGAAATTACAGAAACTGGGTTTAATAATAAGCAAAACAAATTTTATTAACTCTAAAAGGCAGATTTTAAGTGTTGAAAGGGGTAACAAACAGAACAAAGCAGATTACTAAGCAAATGAAATCAAACACGCAAACTAAGCTAGTTTCACTAAAGAAATCAGTTACAAATAGTATTTCTCACCCTAGATATTGTTGCAGGCACTTTGTAAAGTTTCTGTGGTTCAGAGTTCCAGTTATATTCCTTTTCAGTCTGGACCCTGTCTCAGTCTGGACTCCCCCCTTGCGTTCCCTTCAGGTGACTCTTGCAGTCTTTCTTCTTAGGCAGACATCCATGGAGAGGAGGAGACCTGTTGGCCTTCCGCCCCACCCTTAAATAGGATTTACATAAGGCGGAAATCCTTTGTTTCCCAAACTTGACCCCCCCCTTCCCTTACAGTGGAAAGTTATAAGAAGTCCCAGGCAATGTTTAAGTATCAGGTGACAAGACCACCTGACTCTAGTATCACAGCCAGGGCTGGCTCCAGGCACCAGCTTACCAAGCAGGTGCTTGAGGCGGCCACTTCGGAGAGGGGCGGCACGTCCAGCTGTTCGGCGGCAATTTGGCGGACAGTCCCTCACTCCTGCTTGGAGCGAAGGACCTCCCGCTGAATTGCCGCCGCAGATCGCGATCGCAGCTTTTTTTTGTTTGTTTTTTGTTTTTTTGTTTGGCTGCTTGGGGCAGCCAAAACCCTGGAGCCGGCCCTGATCACAGCATCCATGAGTCCGTGGCAGTGCAGAGTGTCCATAGGAAGGCCAAGCTTTTCACAGTCCATTGTCCTCACTGATGGGCCATCCGCCCTGTCTGGCTTTTCCATTGTTGTACCTGAAGTGTTAGCAGTGGCTGTCACCTAAAATAGCATAGTTGAAATACACATACATAGTCAATTCCTAACTTCATTAAACAGGCATACAAATTGGATAATTGCATTCAGTAAATCATAACCTTTCCAATGATATCTCACATGAGCCATCATAGTATATCTCCGTTATGTCATACTCATATGATCAGCATATTTTCATAAAGAATATGGAATACCATGTCACACTGGGGTGTTGTGAGGCTGAATTAATTCATGTTGATGCAATGCTTTAAGTTCCTTCATGAAAAGCACTACCTACAAGAAATATAAAGGATTTGCTCTGTGTGTATGCGTGCGCTGAGTCATTCTCTGCAGGAAGCTAGATGAATGGACTGAGATGAATCTCTCAGCCCCTGGGATGATGGGGGAGCACGTAGGGCAGAAGGAGCCCATAGAATATATGTTAGAGTATGGCCATATTATAATCTGACCTGCACATACTTCTTTATCTATTTTGTGCTCTTCAATCTGTCAGGTTCATACTAATTACTTTAGACTCAGCAAAAGGGACTGTGCTAAGAGAGGCCTGGGCTCAGAACAGGACTGGGAGCTGGAAACTCCTAGGATCTGATTGCAGCACTGAGTCTGATGCCTTGTTTTGTGGAGGTGGTGGTGATTGTTGTGTGTATTGTAGCTGACTTCTTCACGGTAGAGCCCAGAGTATGCTAGGTGTTTTCCAGACATATGAGAAAGGCCAGCCTGCTTGATTTCTCTGCCTCACTTTACTTGTCTTAAAATGGAGATAGCAACACTTGCAGAGATGAGTGGAGCAGTTAATATTTAGAAAACCCTTTGACGATTGAAAGCACTGTATGGAAGGGCTAAGTATTATCATTATGTTATTATTAAAGCAGTTTGATCTAACAACTGACCTACCTTGAAAGTTTTCCTATAGTATAGTTCCCACCTTCCAGATTCCTGAATTGTATTTTTAAACCAATCTTTACTATAGCCAAATTTAAAAATGAAGCAATAATAATCATATCTAGATCTCATAAAGCACTTTTCATCAGTAGATAAAAGGAGGCCAGCATCATTATCCCCATTTTACAGATGGGAAAACAGAGGCCTGGGGCAGCGATGTGATTTGCTCAAGGTCATCCAGCAGGCCATTGACAGAGCTGGGACTATAACCCGGGCCTGCTGAATGTCAGTCCAGTGCTCTAGCCACTAGGCTTACCTGATTTACTTTTGTTTCAACTTGCTGTGAATTAAGTCAGAGAATGTGCACTGTGATAGGAAAGAACACTGGTTTGTTTATATTTAGCTAGACAAGAACTCAGCTTGTTATTTAACATTGTCTGGTTCGGGCAGACACTTTTAAAGAATAACACTGACCATTAAAAAAAAAAACATTTCCCTTGTGAATAAAATGGGGCATGTAGTGTACTGAGTGTTTACAGGGCCCCCTACTTACTGAAACTAAGCAAGGATTCTTGAAAGATCTCAGTGATATTGAACTTTATTAATGTTTTCATAGACATGGCCGGGAATGGCGAACCGCAGCCACTGGGAGCTGCGAGTGGCTGTACCTGCGGACGCTCAGGTAAACAAAGCATCTCGCGGCCCGCCACCCTGAACAAGCCGCGAACCAAGTTTGGGAACCCCTGCACTAAGGCCTAGTCTACACTAGCACTCTAAGTCGATGTAAGTTATGCTAATTAAGTTACATAAGTAATGTAACTTAAGTCAATGTAGCTTACATCGACTTAAAGTGGTGTCTACCCTGCTCTGTCGATGGGAGACGCTCTCCTGTTGACGTAGCTTCTGCCTCTTGTTGAGGTGGATTCATTAAAATGATGGTAGAGTGCTCTCACATTGACTTATCACGTCTTCACTAGACCCACTAAATCGATGCCGCTGCATCGATCACAGTGGCGCCAATTTAGCCCATAGGGTAGACAAGATTTGCAATTTTTTTTGTCAGTAGCCGGCTCTGTTTATTTAGCATCAGAATAATCCACTTGATATGGTCCCAGCTTGAAGCAATCAGCTGAGATTTGCACAGAGGAATTTGAAAGACAACCCTGGAAAAGGTTAGGTTGTCTAAAAAATAATATCTTTTATAGGAAACGTATCTGTGTCAAAGAGGGATCAGAGAAAGGCTCTGCAACCAGAGCAGGGTGAGGTAAGACTGTCTTCTAAATGAATTAATTTATAAATCTGATGGCTGTGTGAGCCTTTGTAGTCAGTAGAAGACAGAATGAGATCACTGATTTTATTTGAACTGCGCTGGTTAAGGAGGTGTGATACTGCATCTGGAAGAGGGAGGTCTAAGGGAGAACAATAGGGTTTTTTATGACCTGTCATAGTTAGGACTCCCTTGCTGAGAGAGAAGAAAAAAGGCTGTCACCACTGTTCCTAAATTCCCTCCTATCCTCCCCCTTTGCAGTGCGCACACTTGTTTTTTATTCTGTGGGCACCCAGCCTCACTTCCAAGCTTTGTACCAAGCAGGTGCCAGATTATAGCCATTGTGGGATCTGACAGAGAGCACAGCGGGATCAGGCTGATTATAATGATAGGAATTTGCAAGCTGTTAAAAACACCGAGGAACATCAGTATCCCAGAAAAGCCGAATGATACACTTGGACTGCGTTTTTTGTTTTAAGGGAGCCCAACAGTAAACGAACCTAGTTATTTGTTAACTTGAGAAATTCCAGCATTTCTTTTTGCTGTCTCCTTCTCTCCTCCCACATGCTTAATGGAACCCCCCAAGTGAGACACCTGGTGGGTACCTGGAATTGGTTCATTATTTATTTAGCTGAGAAGATACATTTATTGTTGATTCTAAGTGACTGCAAGTCCCTGGCCCTTGCAAACTATCAAACAACTCCCAGAATTGTTTTTTTATATATACTTTTAAAAATTGGATGGCTTTGGATTGGTGGTACTAGGAGACAAAGCCTGCCCCTTTTAGGTGGTGAGTTCAAATCCAGTCCTGGTCAATAATGACAAAAATTTATTTTCAGGGCTCTTTGAAGCTTATGTAAAATCAGTTGCTTTTTTTCTGTCATGTTCCCAGCAAAGAGGTATCCACATTACAATAGTCTCCACCACACAACCTAACTATGTCTAAAGATGGAAAGGGCATGGAGATAGAACTAGCCGCTGCATTTCTAGGATGTGGCCACATCCACCAGGAATTGGATGTCATCACAAATTCATTTGCAACAGGCCACTCATGGTAACAATTTTCCATCATCGTTATTATTGAGAGCTGCATGTTAAGAATTGCACACCGGAAGCCATTTGCAGTGTGTAACAACAGCAACTTCATTGAACTCACTAATATATAGACAATGTTGCACGTTCCAATGGGCCAACAGCCATAAGAACATAAGAAGAACATAAGAACAGCTATACAGGGTCAGACCAAAGGTCCATCTAGCCCAGTATCCTGTCTTCCAACAGTGGCCTGTGCCAGATGCTTCAGAGGGAATGAACAGAACAAGTAATCATCAAGTGATCCATCCCCTATCGCCAATTCCCAGTCTCTGGCAAACAGAAACTAGGGACACCATCCCTGCCCATCTTGGCTAATAGCCTTTGATGGACCTATCCTCCATGGATTTGTCTAGTTCTTGCAAGCAGATGGACATCATACCAAAAGGACTAAAGGTAAAAAATCCATTACAATCTACATATCACACAGACTAC